ACGAATTCATTCGACCAATCAAAAACGTGGAACTAGTTCGAGAGTCTCGTTCAGGTGGCGCGTCGACGCGCCAAAACACAGCTCCAGATTATCACACGTAGTATTACTATATATACACGACCAATTAAAAACGTGGAACTGCTTCGAGGGCCCTCCGCTAAGGTGGCGCGCCGAAACCAGAGAAAAATTGAGACCACCAAAAACAGGCTCATTGGCAATCTCCCTACTCATCTCTGCTTGTAGTATTGACAGTGAATTTTGGAACATATCCTCCGTATTTACGAATATCATGGTATCTTTCTTTACCTGCATTGAATAGAATAAGATTTAAGCTGATATGTATGTACATACAACTATGCATATGTAAATCTTAGTTTCCACCGTGCAGAGTTTAAACAGAGTCAAGCAGCCCTATTGGTCAATTCCATTTAACCCTTATACGTGATTGGTTAACTCTGTTTAAACTCTGCACGGTGGAAACTAACGCTATGTTTAGACGATGGTCTTAAACCGATTAGTTAATACTGACCAAATACCACCAAAAGACCACCAATCGATTGGTAAAAAGAAAAATGTCAAAAGTCGAAGTAGGAGGGCTAATTTTGCGGAGCTCCCCACCATCGGCGGTTTCACTAGCGGAGTCAGCGCTGCAAGTGTCGTTTCGGGGAACCTCAATTTTAACAGCTTTTCGGTGTCATACCTTGTGTACAGAGATGGGACTCCTCTACTCTAGTCTCCATGTTTTGGAGGTTCGTGTCCAGCTTCCAGCGGCATTCACCAATGGGTTTTCATATGAAAACTTAAGTGAGTATTTATACGGATTTCGCCCAACACTGTTCGGATTCGGTGTATAAACTTTGTAGGTCCCCTCACGCTAAGTTGAATAAGGCCCGTCGCGCAAGGTACATCGCCATCTATTGTCGAACTTCCAACCTTCATTATTAGGACCAGTTACTGGCACATGTCCCCCATTGGTGATACAGTCATAAGGAAAGGAAGGAAGGGGAAGGATTTTCCATTTGACAATAAAAGTGAGTAACCAACAAATTTTCTAATTGTTCCAACAAAAATTAACACAAAACCAACAATTTTTTATCAAAAGAAAAAGTTCAAAAAATAAATGTTACAGTGCTAACTTCAGGTAGGTGGCACATGTTTCTTTTTGGGGATACAGCCATAAGGAAAGGAAGAAACAAGTATGTAGAGTATGGCTAACGGTATGGCTAACGTAAGCATAACGTTTGTTTGTGTTTGTAAAGTTAATCTGAGTGTTTTTATAGCTCCCTTTTCTCTACACACGTTTAATAGTATAAAAGTAAGGATTTAAATATACAAAAATTATTATATATTCAATATTTACGTACTGCGATCATAGACAGCTCCGAATCTTATCAATTCTAGTGATAAACGCATTTATCTATAGATAATCATAATTTTCTACTGTATCGTAACAGGAAAGTCTGTGAAACTCAAACTGAAAGAATTATGCAAAGAATTGGAAATTGTACAGTAGTGCCTCTCTTGAGGACTGCATCCATTCAAAATGCTTGTAGGAATATTCAACATTCGTATGTATTACAAGTTTTAATATTGTTCACAATTTTATTGAATTATTGAATATTCATCTTGTATAGATGTAAAATTCTGATCATTGGTGGTGGAACAGGAGGTTGCACCATGGCAGCAAAATTTACAAAACAATATAAAGAACCTAAACAGGTTATTGTTGTCGAGCCAAGTGATGTAAGTAAGTTCATGTATTATAAATTTAATATATATAAATTTCTTAATATGAATTATTATATTTTAGATTCATTACTATCAACCGCTATTTACTTTGATCGGAGGAGGTATAAAATTATTCAAATCATCAAATAGGCCTATGGCACAGGTTCTTCCTCGCAATGCTAAATGGATAAAAGATAGTGTAATTACCTTCCAGCCAGAATCCAATAATATAATAACAAGCAATGGTGACACTATTCAATATGAAATAATGATAGTTGCTATGGGCTTACAACTTTACTGGGATAAGGTACAGAAAACCATATATCAAGACCGCCTATCAAGCACATTTATAAAAATCATCATAATTTAACAGATTCCAGGATTAATAGAAGGTCTCAAAAATCCTGATTCTCAAATTTGTTCAATCTATGGTCCTGAAATGGTAACTGAAGTCTTTAATAAGATAAAGAAGGTCTCAAATGGAACGGCAGTCTTTACTTTTCCTAACACACCAGTTAAATGTCCTGGTGCACCTCAAAAAATCGCTTATATTGCCGAAGATTATTGGCAACAGGTGCGTAATGGTTGTGCTCTTCCAGAAATTCTAATATATAAAAATATAGCATACCTATTTGCAACATCATTCCTCTCTATTTGTATTTGTCAAATTGCTAGTATTCTTGCATAAATATGCGAGAATACCAAATACAAATATTTGATGAGGAATGGAGTAGTCTTAATTCTGTCCTTATGAGTCGAAAGAATCAAGTGATATTTGATATGTGAGTCCTATCAATGCCATCATGTTTTTTTTTCTTATGCATTATTTTTTTAATTAAAGCCTTTTATATACTATAGTAGAGATACTGTCTCCTTTTTTAACACTTGAGGGTATGAAGATTATAATAAAATAATTTTAAAAATAGAGTACAGCAGTGCAATATATAAAGAATAACAGTTAAAACGTTGGAACAGTTAATTAATCACAGATAATAAATATTTACAGAAGAAGATTCGAGATAAATTAAAAGTGGTATATAATACATCTTTACCAGACATTTTTGGCGTAAAAAAATATGCTGATTCTCTGTGGGCTGTATGCAAGAAAAGGGGTATTATTGTGAACCTCCAGACAAATCTTTTGAAAATTGATCCAGACAATCGAGAAGCTATTTTTCAGAACTTGAAGGACCCAGATAAGACATTTGTCCAAAAGGTACGGCTTTATCAGTATGAAAACTTGAAATTAAAAATGGTTTTCAAACATAGATCTTATAGATTTTTATTTTGTTTATGGTTCAAACCATGTTATCTATTCAGTATTTGTCTATTCATATTTTATATGGCTTTATTTATATAAGGTATTCGAAAAGTGACGCACGCGAGTATTATGATTAAATTCTATGTAAACAATTGAGAATTGCATCGTTTAGCAGAATACACTTTTCAGATACTTAGTTTTAAATTTAGTGATTTTCGGTGTATAAACACCTGGTTGGTAATAGATCACCCGCCCATGTGCAAATCTACTCAATGATGTTCATTTATGGCTCACGAGCATGGTAACTATGGGTTTGCTGATCCGTGAATGAGTATTATTCAGTAGGTGATAACCCGTGGGCATGGTATTTATCGCCAGCCATGCGCTTACATGTCAAAAAATAACAAGTTTAACATTTATTATCTTCGGATTTTGACTAAAAAATATAGTACTAAAACGTGTGTTTCTCATTTTTTTAACGTAGAATTCAACCGTATTATTCGCATGCGTCATTTTTCAAACACCGCGTATATTATTTCTTGTTGCTTTCGAAAGCTCCCCAAGTGAAAATAAAAAATGCTTTTAAAAATAACTGCGGGAAAAAAATGCTACAGTACTTTTAATAGGAAAGGCATTATTGCTCCCTTGTGTACAAGTGGTGATTTTTCTCGAGTTTTCCGATTAGTGCGACTCATCCGAGTTACCTTAGAAAATAATTTTAATGTATTTACTTTGCTCCCTCTACAGGGAGCCTTCTCAGATCAATCGTACTAGTCACGCTACGGAATACTCGGAAATATAGATATTTTATTGGTCAAGAAATCCTATGAAATAAGTGACGTGATTTCACTACTATTAGGGATTGGTACTATTGGTATCTTTACTGTGAAATAATTATTTCATTTAGTATGCCTTGCTTCATGTAACGCCTCCAATGGGTCCACCTAGTATTTTGAAAAATCATACAAATTTGACGAACGCTGCTGGCTTTTTGCGTGTGGATCCGAAAACTCTTCAACATGAACAATATACAAATATATTTGGCATTGGCGATTGTACCAATACACCGAACTCAAAGACAATGGCTGCGATATGTAAGTACCTATATTTATTAATAGTTCATATAATATTACATTGCATTTAATATTTTCACAGCATCTCAATCGAAAGTCGTATATAGAAATGTAATGGATTACTTGGCTGGAAAAGAAATACGTTCAGTTTACGAGGGTTATGCATCGTGTCCATTAGTAACTGGGTATGGAAAATGTATTTTGGCAGAATTTGATTACAAGTTACAGCCTTTGGAAACTTTCCCGTTTGATCAGGGGAAAGAGTATTACATGATGTATTGGCTGAAGAAGACTTTCTTTCCTTTCTTGTATTGGAACCTGATGCTTAAGTAAGTGTAAATAAGTTTTTTGTTTGACAAATTGTTTAAACGATTTTTTAATTCATTTTAGAGGAAATTGGGATGGCCCTGAAGTTTTTCGAAAATATTTTAATGTTTTTAAAAGGAAGAGCACTGAATCTGTCAATTAAAAAATATACTTCAAGAAAATTGAGAATATGCTATTGTATGTACATACACAGCCTGCTGCCTATTTAACTCTTGAAAGGTGCAGCTTATTTTTACTGTACTTGACCGGTACACTGACCCAAAAGGGGACACGAATTTCAAATGACAATTGTGACATTCCTAATTATCGTAGAATAATTTTTTTTTAATTAAAACTTAGAGTTTCTACTTTTTAAACATCTAATCAAATGTTTGATTATCTGAATTTTTAGCGCAGATATTTTAATTTAAAGTTGAAAAAGTGTTTTTTTCGTTTTTTTTCTTTAATTTTTTATATCTCCACTTTTATTACAGATATCGAGATGATCTTTGTACGATTTTAAAGTTGAAACTGTGAAGTTTCATGTAGTATCGATGATGTTTGATTTATTACAAATTATTGATTTTATCCATGAAGGTGAAGTTTGACTATAGGATATATTCAAGGGTATAGTCGTAAAAGGAGTAATTTGGGTGGCATTTCAATGATGAAACTTTTTTATGCTAAAATACAAAATTAATATATTTATTAAAAATAATTAAACAAAATTACGCTGTGTAATATTTGCATTCGACACACAACGAGCAACGATGCCAGAATATTCTTCAGGATCTGTCTCCCAGTCTGGACAATAGTCGCTGTTGCAATTAGCCATTTACAAAAATTAAAATTAAAAAAAGTTCACCTATCAATTATTTATAAATTTGGTTTATAAACTGTCTTCTCTTATACAAATAATTAAAATAAACATGTACTTACATTTTATCAAACTTATTGGCTCACATACAAAAAATAATTGAACAATCACGAAAGCGTGAAATTTCACTGTTTTGGCACACTGTCCCCTTTTGAGTCAACACATTCCTTCCGATGTAAATAACACAAAGGTCTGTAGGTAAACTGATGAAATTCTATTCATGGCTTATTGTCAAACCCCTAATGGATTTTTCATCTGTCTGCCGAAACCCTAAGGTTCAGTTCCTTTTGAATGTCTCAACTTATAGAATTTTGGTCGTCCCCTTTAGGATACAAGTGCCGCTCAGGGTTTAAATAATATATTAATACTCTGTATAGTATATGATTTTTTGAACAGAACTTATTAAGAGGACTGAGGAGCACACAAGGCGGATATAGAGCGTACTTACGAAAAATCGCAAATAACAGGATTTTTACATGAATGTTTTCCCGAAGTGGGTGGAATGGCACATTCTGCAGGATTAATACTTATTTTGGCACAACTTTCGTAAAAATTAATCGTAAACTGAAGGAGACATTCGACATGCATTCTGTCTTATTGAACAGACTATAACGTCCGCCTACTAAAGAACACATTTCATTTGGCCAAGCGGTGCAATTGACCGAAAGATGATTCGGGCAAGCGATAATTCGGAAAACTGCTGGATCGGATAAGCGGTAAATCGTGCGTTTGGCAATTTGGATGAATGGGTCTCTATCAGGTTTTCGAAACAACAAGTGCCCGAATAATCACCTTCCTGAACATTCATCTTTTTGAAGGTGAGGTGGCTGGCGAGGTGAGTTCGTTAACCACCAAAGCTATGATGAGCACTTCAACGATGTTCAGTCCTCTGCATTGAAGTTGATTTTCGCTGCGATGATGTTATGGATTTTCAAATTTTATAAAGGCTTTAGAAATAAAAATGCAGGTGCTATTGGAGAATACTATCACTAACTTTATTTATTTTAATTATAATGTGGTTTAGTCTAAATCAATCTACCTTAACTGAATCTAGCTAATTGACTCTACGATATAGACTCTCTTGGGTTCCAAAAGATACAGTCCTCTGTAGCTTTCATACACGCATCCGTGATCATACACATTCATATATTCTACCCGTTCTGGAGGTCCACCGTCTGGCGCTTCGGTATCTGGACCAAAGCTCGAGGGCCTTGTTCTTATGTACAAAGAACTCATGCACACCCTATCCTTAGTTTATTTGGGAAGCACATTACAACGTCACCGCTCAACCGAACATTCCGCTCGCTCGCCGAGCCTCTCAAGTACATAAGTGTCGAAAGGATGAAATGTAAGAGAAATGGAGTGAAATATATGTGCAAAAATGTTTATACTAAACGTTAACGGACACGGGCTGCAGCAGAAAAGTGTTGTAAATCCTAATCTATATTCTATTATTATTTAATAAGACTTGCGAATTTGATAAATATGGATGAAGTTATGTTAATAATTATAATAAATGAAAGCGGTAGAGAATGTAATGAGGGAAATATTTTACGTGAAACCAGAAGACGATTATGGGACACCTCTGATCCGTTTTCGATTTCAGAAAATGACCACGAACATATACAGGTTGGTTTTTTTTTTCATTACTTTTATTAATCGAAATAATTGTTTTGAGAATTTTATCATTAATTATTGTTAAATATCGAAGGTTATCCAAAGACGCCTAACATGCTCTCATTACAGAGCTAAGTCCTTTTATAACAAATGCACAAAGAAGTACATCTATTCCCCATGTATTTCAGGTAATTGTGTTACTTGTCTGATTGGTATATTTTAGATATTATCAACATTAAACAAATTAATCGATAACTGAATATATACAAATGTAAATATGTATATATGTACAGATATTAACAGCTTTGATTTTAATGGCATCAGGATCATATCAGAGAAGAGTCGGCCAAGATTTTTTGACATGTATGTCATAAACGACAAGTTTTAATGATTAGTTCGCGAATCAGTAAAGATATGAACATGAACTATTCTAAATGTGCTACAACGTGAACTATTTGAAACTTTATATGTGGAAACAATGTTAGCAAGTCGATGATGAATGGATTATTTATACGTATAGGTAGTACTTGCCAATTTGCACTTATTTTCACGACTCTAACGTAATCGCCCTCGTCCAAAATCCGATGTCGAAAAACCTAGGGCGACCACATAGGAGTTTCAACATATAACCTATGCCATAATTAAAGGCTAATTAAAGGCTATTTTAGTGCTCCAAAAATTAATTTTTCCGCTCCACCCCTAATGCCAAAAATGCATGGACTTCCTAAGTGTAGATTAAGTTGGGAGGACCACAGTCAAAACAATGTTAAAGGTAAGTGTTATAGAATTCTAGTTTACATATTATTTAACCGCTTTTTAAAGGCTGTCGAATGAGACCAAATTCAATCGAATCGGACCACCCTATCCCAAGATATACACCCCCTGGGTGTCCCGAACTGGATTTTTTAAATCTCTGAATACACATTAGCGATGTAGTCGTATCCAATCTAAAGAATCATTCATTTATGCGCACGCAATTAATCTTAAAATTCGTCTTGAAATAACGGCTCGACATTTCGGCAACAACCAATTTTACCGCTTCATCCCCTAGGTCAGAACTCACCCCCTCTTTACCTACTTCCTTGTATCTCGGCTTTATCTCTAATATAAAAATGGTATTCTGGATTTTTCTAAATATGCAACTAATTTTAAAAAAATATTCTGTTTTTAAATCTTCGCTTCTCCGTGTATACTGTTATATTTGATACTTTGTTTATCTCGCCGCCGTTGCGCTGTACGCATTCGGTGTGGGACTAGTAAGAGCGCGGGCTTTGTCTATTCGTTTTTAGTTTGTTCTACGATTTGTTTGTTTGAAAATCCGGATGCTTTCGCATAAAATAAATTAATATTTTCTTTTGTTTTTCTGTCACATTCATTTTGTGTCAGGGTACACAGGATTATCGAAAAATGGTGCATAAACGACGCAGAAGATATAGTCTTACGCAAAATGTTTGTCACTAGTAAAAACAATCTAGTGGTTTCACATTTACACTTGGACGTTAGACAATTGAGTGAGTTTCCTCGCGTGAGATGAAAATACGACAAGTAAGCTGTGTCGACCGAATTACGAAATCGACCTCCTGGAAAGCGTACGGCAGTGGTAGGGGCCGCGTAGAGCGAGATAGCGAGGAAACAAGTCAGTGTAGCAAGCTGTCTATCACATACTGTACAGTCTCTCAAAAAGCTTAAGCTGGGATAAAGCAGTGTGCACAGGGAGGACTAACAAGGGGAGGACGCGAGCTTGGGGTGACGGATTTAAGAGTCCTTTTGGGGTAGGAAAGTACTTTGTAATAACAACCTGCAGGCCAAGTAGCAGGACGCAACTCGGACCCGTTTTCGAGAAAAACCGGTTTGAAAAATGCAGTACTACTCATATACATGCACCGTTGCCAATATTTTTGAGAAGGTGGTGTAGCTCGGTGGCAGCGCGCTTGATTACCACCCGAGCGGCTAGGGTTCGATTCTCCCATCGCACCTATTTTTTTTTATATTAATTCTTTTTTTTTTTGTTACCCGACAAGCCATGTTTATCTATTAACAATTTTGTCAATTTACGTACGAAATGAGTGCATTGGAACACTATTATTTTTCATTATCAGACACTGGTTTACATCACGCATCGTATGTTTGTTTCGAAAATAGTTGTACACTGATTGTCAACCCCTGCATACTTTACTGTTTGTAAAACTTTTATACTTGCTTGTACATCCTATGTTTTTAAATGTGAACGAAATTAACTTTCCTCTGTCACTATCAAAAGAACATTGCCATTGCAACGAACAAGAAGTTGCATTCATAAATTGTGCATGGTGTAAACATAATTTATGTTTTGCATGCTTTTATGATACATACCATCCAAATAAATGTAAAGGCTATACAGAAGCCACTAGTGATAGTGAATAATAAAAAACATATGTACATACACCTAACAATACGCTTTGAATCTTTATAACCTTTTCCAATAAAACAGTGTCTGATAATGAAGAATAATGGTGTTCCAATGCACTCATTTCGTACGTAAATTGACAAAATTGTTAATAAATAAACATGGCTTGTCGGGTAGCAAAAAAAAAGAATTAATATACAAAAATATACGTGTGATGGCAAAATCGAACCCTGGCCGCTCGGGTGGTAGTCAGGCGCGCTGCCACCGAGCTACGCCGCCTTCTCGAAAATATTGGCAACGGTGCAGGTATATGAGTAGTACTGCGTTTTTCAAATCGATTTTTCTCGAAAACGGGTCCGAGTTGCGTCCTGCCACTTGGCCTGCAGTTTGTTATTACAAAGTACTTTCCTACCCCAAAAGGACTCCTAAATCCGTGATCCCAAGCTCGCGTCCTCCCCTTGTAAGTCTACATAACCTGAAATAGTGACATACCTATTTTATTTCGAAGACTGCTGAATATTTTGTTATCGTTTTTACAAAGTTTTGCGAATTTGGAATAGGCAGTTTTGACCGCAGTGAAAAGTGATTTTAAACCATTCATCACAATTATTTATTGCATAAAAATTTACAGAAACCCAAAAATTTAGTACAGATCATACTGATTTAACAATTGTGAATTGCTCCAGACTCCTTAAATGATGAATATAAAAATCCAGGCTATTATATAGTTAATAGACGTAGCTAGTCCTATTTTTGTGTGATAAAAGAATAGCGAAACCATGAAAGAAATAGTTTTGCTAGTTCGATGGTAACAATTTTATATTGCTACATAACATAATTGTATTAAAATACAATTTAATTATCATAAATAATTAGCAGTGCTAACTATTACCAAATATTTAGCTGGCACCCTATACTTATCAGACATGAATGGGGAGATCATGGAGACTAGAGTAGAGGAGTCCGATCTCTGTACATAAGACATGACACCGAAAAGCTGTTAAAATTGAGGTTCCCCGAAACGACACTTGCAGCGCTGACTCCGCTAGTGAAACCGCCGATGGTGGGGAGAGTATTGGGCGAAAAGATATACTACATGGCTTCTATATCTATACAGGGTGTTCTTTATGAAACGCACTGTAGTAACATCGTTGCATTCTTTGTCAAATTCTAATGAATACGTATATTTTCATTATTTATTTCATAATCAAAATTTCGAGATAATCAAGGTTGAAGTTGCAGTAATGCGACCAATCAGAGCGCGTTTAAACGGAGCGTAGATGACGTCGCGAGTCAGGCCGCAAGACCTGCTTACACTAGGCCAATAACACTAAGAGTATCGTCGTAGTGTCCCTGTTTGTCTGCATGTAATTGAGTGAGATACAATCGTTCGCTGTAACGTCAATGAATTTCAGAAGGTACCCTTTATTCCTTATAATGTCTATTCCTTTAATGTGACAAGATAGTTGTAGCAACGTATTACGTTTTGAGTGGTCCTGAAAAGGACCGATTTTGATCTACGCATGACCGAGCTTGGATCTGGATATGCTAATCTGCTGTAAGCAGCCCTTGCGGGCTGGCTCTGGACGTCATCTACGCTCCGTTTAAACACGTTCTGATTGGTCGCATTACTGCAACTTCAACCTTGATTATCTCGAAATTTTGATTATGAAATAAATAATGAAAATATACGTATTCATTAGAATTTGACAAAGAATGCAACGATGTTACTACAGTGCGTTTCATAAAGAACACCCTGTATAGATATAGAAGCCATGTAGTATATCTTTTCGCCCAATACTCTCCCCACCATCGGCGGTTTCACTAGCGGAGTCAGCGCTGCAAGTGTCGTTTCTTTAGAGTTTGACAAGGAATGTAACGGTGTTACTACAGTGCATTTCATAACGAACACCCTGTATATATATATATTCTTTACGCCACTGTGCTTATTAGCCGTCCACGAGATAGCTATTTAAAAAATAATAGTACAGACTTTACAGTTTGCAGAAAATATTGGTATCAAGCTGAAAAAGTTGTATTTTATTTGTTATTAACAACTTAATTGTTTAAACGACGAACCTTGGTTGATAAGATTATATTTTATGCTTTTCAATGTAAGAATATTTACGCCTAATACGAGATTCCTATCATTAGTCAGTCACTCGTTAGTTGTTTAGACAATTAAATTGTGAATAACAAATTAAATATAACTTTTTCAGCTTAGTACCAAAACTTTCTACAATCTGTACGCATTATATTATTATATTTTTAATAATTAGCATAGACTGTCGCAAAGACTAATATTGCAAACGTAACGGAATATTAGAATATTTCTTACAAGGAGAGTCTCCAACAATCGGATTTTTGCAATCTTTTTTACTCATGGTACGTGAAGTTGAGAATTCGAATAGTAATTTCCCAAAGCAGTTCTATATCATATTTAAAAATTCTCAAGAAAGTCGACTTTGAAGTTTTGTGAGTCCGTATGTGCATCAAATGTGTCACAATATTCAAGCAGGCCGTTTAACGCACCCGGTAACGCTCGAGCTTAGCGAGCGCGGGGTCGCTGGTTCAAGGCTCACTTGTAGCTTTCTTTTTTCCACCCAATTCACATAATTACGTCATTTAAATATAAAAATCACCAGATCTATAGCAATTCACAGATATATAATTGTAATCTTCAATGAAAATTGCGCGTTTTATTTTTAATTATCTCGAGCTTCAAAAATTGTACTTTAGAATGTAAATATCAATGTTTAGCAACCAGTAATTATAGCAAACAAGATTTTTAGAGCGGAAATGAAAAATGATGGAATTCTCTTTACTATAAAAGTAACATGATAAGAAAAGTAATGGGGTCGAAGTACTTAACGCGCACAATATAATAAAAAAAAAATTTCTTGAAAATTTTTGAGGTGTCTGGTACCCTTTGCGAAGGAACCCCCAAATACTGCAGCCATAACGCCCCTGACAGAACTTCGTACTTTTGCCACCAGTCAACGCTCGAGTCAACACCGAAATTTTTTCCAGCCAGACAGCAGCCTTAAACGAGCATCGTAGCTGAGTCAATAGCCTATCGAGATATAACGCTGCCGATTACGGATTCAATCCCCCAGGAAGAACTCTTATTTCATTTTTTTTCATTTTACTACAAAAATTGTTCAAGGTTTCTCCCTTTAAACTTTCTCGGTTGCCCAAACTTTATTTTAAGCTTATATAAAATATTTTTAAAAAAGGTTGTCATCGGGATCGAACCCGCACTGTCTGAACTCCGAACAGGCACACAAAACGCCAAAACGATCGAGAAAGGCTGCCAAAGAACTTGGAGCCTTTCTCGATCATTTTGGCGCCTTTTTCTTACAATTTTTATTTATTAACATTGTCAGGGGAACATAAAAACTCACTCATGTATTTCATGACTTCCAATTTATTTTTTCTTCTTGGACATTTTGTGCAACACAGCTTCCACTAAAATTTTAAACGCCCGCTCATGAGGGGCGACTTCCTCTCGCCGCGACCAGCGAGGAGAGCGGCTGCGTGGAGATTGAGGGAAACGACTGTGGGTCCTCTCCCTCTGAGGCACCCGCCCGCGCCTCTGCTGATGTTGTTGCTGCTGCTGCTGTTGATGGCCCCCCCTCATCTTCATCCAGCGCCAATTTTTTTTCATCTTACCTGTAACAAATTAAGAAAAAAATATATACAACTAGAATATAAATAATTATGAACTTATCGATACATACCAGATATTGGCGGTGGTGGCGGTACAGGAGTCGGTGGCGGTGACGGCAGCGTTGGTAGTTGTGATGGTGGTGGTGGTGGCGACGGCGGCGGCGGCGGCGGAGACGGTGCTGGCCCCGTGTTTACGCCCTCAATAGCAGTGCTATAACCATGAAATATATTAATATTATTGACTACTTTTGTTAAATGATTTCAGTAAACGATATAAATACATACGACTGGTCGGTGAAAACAACTGCCTAGGAAAAGAAAAATCATTTTTTATTATTTCACAATATTCTATATCGCAATATCCTTCATAGTAATAAAATAAACAACAGATGTGTTGCGTCTTGTTTCCTTATAATTATTTAAGAGCTACTTACCATGATGCTGCTGCCTGTACGTCTGCGGACGAACTGACGCATCAGGCCCCAATATGTATTGCTAGTCGCGCGATAGTTGGCGATATTGTTGCAGACGCCCGTTCAGACTCGATGCGTCAGATTCCTAGACTGTTGTGTTGAAGTCGCCAGTACGCGATCTCACTAGACCGAGACATTGGACGGGTTTAATTTATTTCTTAATTATTAAGAAGTGAATTAGTGAAAAATTCAACAGTAATGGATAAAAAGGAGCGCATTTACGATCGTTGTGCATATAACGGTTGTACGAATGGGCGAATATCAACGGGATCGCATCTTTTTCGTTTTCCGCAGGCCGACGATCCTCGACATGATGTTTGGGTACAATATATGTATAGGTAAATTGTTATACACTTCAATTTTTTATTTTATAGTTTATTAGTACTGAATTGAGGCATAATACAGGGTGAACCACGGAGCGTGATCAGTAGAGTTTACTTTGTTATTAGCAGTCCGATCGAAAATGTTTTTATCAGCTTTTGCATGGTTTCAAGAGAGCTTTAACGTGATAGTGAAAAATTACTGGTTCACCCTTTTTTAAAATGTTTTTTCAAGGTTACCTTGAATTTTTTGCAACTGAACATATAATTTTTTTACGCCTGTCTGTTAGAGGATTTCAAGACGAATTCGGCACATGTAAGGACATGACATTTTTTTCATCCGGTTCGAAAGAAAATTAAAATTAAAATTAAAATTAACCGTATGCAGATGATGAGAAAGATTTATCAAAACAGCTTTTTTATTATTCTGCAGCAGAGTATAAACGGTTGGAAAAAGCACGGTGCAATTTCCCGTCCGTTAGTACCGTACGATCGTGGATATCGGAGATTGATATAAAGCTTGGATTTTGTCCCGATATCATCGACAAATTAAAGATAAAGCTGGAACAGTTGCCGCCTGCAGAAAGAATCTGCTGCCTCAAATGGGACGAGATGTCAATAAAGAAGTTCGAAGAATATTCGGTGAAGTACGATTTCATCGAAGGACTCGTGGATCTTGGTTCGCTCGGCCGTCGCAACGAGCGAGCTCGCTATGTGTTCGTGTTCTGCTTGGATAGTTTAAATGCAAGAAATCCATGGCGACAACTCATCGCTTACTTCTTGACAGGAAATAGAATGCAGGCAACAGACATGCATGATCTTCTCAAGCAATGCCTAGCAAGACTTCATGGAATCGTAGCGAACGTTGTCCTAACAACGTGTGATCAAGGGTGATCCAATCAACCGCTGTATTTATCAGTACTTGGCGTGATCGATTTGGCAACTCCCTCTTTCCATTACGCAGGACGAGAGTACTTCGCGTTATTTGACTTTCCTCATTTGATAAAGCGCTTGCTCAGCACACTCAGGTTTTATAAGATACTGTATTGCGAAGGAAAAATTATTGCTGCCTACGCGGACTTCGAAGATACGTATAATTACTACTGCACGAACACCACGTCCAGGTTGTTGTCGAATATTACGCCAGCACATATAAAGCCAACATGCTTCGAAGCGATGAACGTAAAGCGAGCTTTTCAAATGCTCAACCACACGTATGCCGCGGCAATAATGACTGCGGGCCACGATCCTCATGGATTGAGAAGCAAGACTTGGAGAGAATCTGCAGCATTTGCTAAGCGGATGGACATTGTTATCGACACATGCGATGCATACCGGTTGTTCTCCCAAAATCCAGCGAAAACGCCTCTATCGGATAGGAATCCCAACATTGAGCAAACGCTAATTGGATTCATCGATTGGGCTTCCAGTTGGAGCGCGGTATCATCGAAGAAAATTCCAGGCTTGTTAGGTCTGCCGATGACAGTAAAGGCCATTTTAATGACTTATCACTCGATCAAAGAAGAACATGCGGAATTCGAGTTGGCAGCGGCGCTTTGCAACCAGGATTCAGTAGAGCACTTTTTTTTCAAAATTAAGAGGACGTAGGAGTTTTAATTGAAATCGAACGGCGAGAATGATAAGATTGACCGTTAGGCATATCATCTTAACTGAATATATTGGTACAACCGACATAGGCAACGCACAGTGTCCTGAGACCCCAGCTCTTCTCAATTCGAGCAGTCTCGTAACACTGGCATTTGAGAAAACGGATGATCTAACGATCGATCCCGCTGGTCATGAGGAAGACGACCCAAACACCGATGTTCCCACCGCATCGGAAATTATCGAAAGCTACGGTGATGCACCGCCGTACAAAGATATCACTGAAAAGAATTTGGGACTGTACGAGAAAAATTTAATTGCATTTTTCACTAGCTATATTGGCCATCGCAATATGAAAAGAAATCCATGCGACCGTTGTTGTGCCGATATTCTGAAGACTTCGATGAATGACTCTTCACCAAACGAAATGTATATCGAGTTTCGAGAATACGAGAACATCGATATTGATGCCCCAAAAGTAACGAAGCTGAAGCGACCAACTGAAAGCTTCGTTCAAATTGTGGAAGCTCAGCTGAAAGCTTACTTAGTACTTTGGAAAAAATACTGGCAGTCCAGAGATCTTTTACGGAAACTGACGGACGATATTGTACTTGCTACAATCCCGAATTTTCCGGAGTGGTACGATGAAAGTCATCTCTGCAAAAATCATCGGATGCAGCATTTGCAGTTCTTAGTCAGAGTCAAAGTTTTTACACAGACAAAATATAATAATCGCGCAGCGGCGCAAACAAGTCATGCGACTCAAGCGCAACACAAACAGCATCAGAAATTGAAAAAATTGAAGGGTTTGTAAGTTTGTTTGAATGTATACTATTGAATTCGCGCCTGACTGCAATCGGAGGCTCCTGGAGCTGCACGTTGACGAATCATTTCAAATTGTCAAAGGTGTCCCGTGCGTAGTCAGAGGCTCTTGCAGCTGCGCTTCGATAGTCTTTCCGCTTAAACTAGCGATAGCTCCTTTAGCTGCCCTTTGGTTAATCCTGCATTCTCCATAGCGTCCCGATTTAACGTCGGAGGCTTTAGGAGCTAATGGGGGGTGGATTTGATTGCCTTCCCGAAAACAAGTGCACAAATTGTTTTTCAAGACAAAATAAACTGTAAGATGATACAATTCTCAATTCCTGCACTTGGCCAAACAATCAGCAATATTTTTATTAAAGGGGAATATAACATCGTTTTCTATGTGCAAGCTGATCATAAAATATTATAGTGGATAAAATAAAAATGAACGAGTAGTTATTTTATATACTTCATTAGCTCATGTGAGCTAATTATCTTGTCGCCGAAAATCTTACCGAGGTCAAATTGTTAAAAAAAAACTTTTTCCTTTCGATATACTATTATTCCCAATTGTCCTTTTCTCAATTCCTCTTACTTTTAGATATTTACACGCGTCATGTGTATGTGAAATATATGTAAAATAATTATTGTGATCATCTTCAATGAAGAAACTTTATATTTAAGTACAGAACTCATATTATCAAGATTTTCCAATCGAAACCTTTTGATATCCTATTGCCATTCGTTTGTATTTTAATTACTTAAATGGATCGTTTTTGTAATGTTGATATCGCCGATCGTAGTATAGGCCTACTGAGGACCCGCTACGTTAAATAGTGGGAACGCATGGGCTGCGGTACCTCTTGGGTGATGTGGAAGCCCGCAGGTTGTCGTTTTTTATGCCTTTATTGTAATAAGATAATAGTACTTTGCGATACGAGTGCGAGAAAGCGAAATTTATAGGCAGGCGGTGAAGTTGGTTGCACGAGCCGCACACGAGTAACACAACGGCACGAGCAGAAGGCGAGTGTGACAAATTTCATGATCTACATTAATGTTCGCTTTATTGCACCAGTATCGCATAATATTTTATGTAACTCATGCTTGAAAAACGCTACTTTTCGTGCCTCCAAAATGTGGCGTAAGTGGCGCTTTATAACTAAGGATACGATAAAAATGCTGCACATGCGCAAATCGGCCCAATTTTACATTATCGCACTAGTGCTTTCAATGAAGAGATTTTCGAGTCACTTTGGAGGCACAAAAAGTAGCACTTTTCATGCATTCGTTACAGAAAATATTATGCGATACTGGTACACTAAAGCGAACATTATACGCAGGTCGTGAAGTCTGTCACACTCGCTGCACTCGCCTTCGGCTCGTGCCGTTGTGTTACTCGTATGCGGCTGTGCCTATAAAGTTCGCTCTCTCGCACTTGTATCGCAAAGTACTAGTATGTAACTCATGCATGAGAAGTGCTACTTTTCGGGACACCAAAGTGAAGGCGTGTGGTGACAGCATGCGAGAACAAAACACTACGCAGTGTGAGAAGTGCGTGCGAGAAGAAGTTTCTCATTACCGACGCCTCCGAAATTTTGAAGAGGGTGCGCGCGCACGGGTCGACCCCCTTCGGTTTGACGTCATTGGAAGGGGGCCCTGGTTTTACGTCAGGTTTCAGGCGTTCTACGGCAGATTTCAGAAATTTTACATCAGACGTAATTGAGTACATTCTAGATCCTTCTATTGCAACCCCACCACATTTCATCATAAGCCCCCTATTTCTCTTCCGTCTTCTTCACCTCTATCGTTCCGCTATGATACAGTGGCCTTGGAGAGACGGTAAAAATCAAAGGAGGTGTCAAATGACCCTTTGTACGTTACCGAAAAAATTGTTTGCAATAATTTAATGTGCACTATTTACTCGAGAAGAATTTAGCAATTTCCGCTACGATACATTGGCCTTGGAGAGACGATAAAAATCAAAGGAGGTGTCAAATTACCCTTTGTACGTTACCGAAAAAATTGTTTACAATAATTTAATGTGCACTATTTATTCGAAAGGAATTACGCATCGAGACGGCAGATCTTTGATGCCAAAGAATTTAGCAAACCTTTATATAATGCCGAAATATAGATCCATGAATTGTTTACTTAATTAAAATTCCTTCACACTCTTAAGAAGAAGAAGAAGAATGTCCTCTATATAAGGAAGAGCTTGGTGCTCTTTCATTAGTTTACTGTCATAATTCG